GTGCATACGATGATCGCGGTTGTGGCTGTGAGTTACACCTTGCTCCAGATCATTCAACTTGTATCGAGCAACAGTCCTATCTACGCCTACTTCATTTCCTACCCTCTTAATATCGTTCTTATCACAAGAATACTGGATAGCTGCGCAGTGCAGCTGCTTCTCAACGTGCGCTCGCAGTACCCGTTCCAGAACGAGCGAACTTAGCAAGCTGCGATTCAGACGGTAAGCCACAATCCTATGAGCTGTCGTACCTTTCTATGTTCTTCCGTAAGATACCCGGCTGTTCATCCAAATATTCCTGTATATGGAGCGTTTCTGTTAAAATGCGCAATCAGCTTATTTCTTTCCGTCATTTCGCGCGCAGCACGCTGGCAGTGCTTTGCTCTCACCTGCACGCACCGGAAATCAAGTTAAGTTTCGATGGCATCCGACGAGAATGTTCAGTTCGACGCTCTACACATACTGTCAGAAGCGCAGCCGTGGTCAAAGAGGAACGAGATGGTAGGTCTACCGGATTGTATGCTGCATCGATTCGTTGACTCGCTCTTCAGGCCTTGCTCGAAGCATTCAACGTGTGGCTCCAGGTGCCGCAGGATAGGCTCGCTGTGATCTCAAAAGTGATCAGCATGCTGCACACGTCCAGTCTGCTGTGAGATGTCGCGTCCTGTATGCCGCTCGGGTCTCAGCCTGTCTGACCAGTATTACCCGATAGCATCGCACAAGATCTACGGCATACCACAAACTATCAACTCAGCTAGTTACGCGTACTTTCTTGTTTATCAAGAGCTCTTCTCGTTGCGATCGGGCTCGGGCCTAACTTCCAAAGTGAAGCGGATTCTGCGGTGAAGCGTCTGATCCCATTCAGGGAGTTGGATCGTATTGTCACTGGTAGGTTGCTTCATACGGTGGGTCGCATACTTACTCTGATGGTTGCCTGTCGTTAGCGGAGTTGTTGTCTCTGCATCGTGGTCAAGGCCTCGAACTATTATGGCGCGACTCGCTCCAGTGCCCGACAGAGGAAGAGTATGTGGCGATGGTCAACAATAGTGAGTAGCTATGCGCACCTCTTCAGTTCTTTCTATCTCATTTCTACGCACTCAATTTAGAGACTGGCGGTCTCTTCCGTGAACACGCCCGCATTCTCCGCATGATCAGCTGGATTCTCCGGGTCGTGATCGGTGTGCGGAGGGCGTCGGGGCAGGGGACGCTGCCGGTGATGCATTGGGGCTCATATATGAAACGGAAAGCCAGACCGGTGCGTCGTTCCCGCCCTCTCTTATCCTCTCAAGCCGGCTGCGCAAGCTCGCCCCTCCTCCACTCCCCCTCTCCCTCTGTCTGTTCCTTCACCTGTACCGATGCGTCCGTCAACAACCACCGACGACAGCGCGTCATCCGACCTCACGCGCTTCTCCTTCGCGGGCCCGCGCGTGTCTTCTCCGCGTCGCGCTACGTCTCGGTCTCGCCGACGACGATCACGAGCGTCGGCTCGTCCGAGGGCCGCCCGGGCACGTCGCTTTTGTCCTATGAGATCCTCCAGAGGCGCAAGCAAGTCTCTCGTGCTACGTCTCATCCGCTAGCTTCTCTCATGCCTCGCGTTTCGCAGAACGCCGCTAACGGCGTCACCTGCCATTCCGGTTGTCCTTCGTTCGACCAGGGGCGGGTCGCAGGACGCGCTCCATTCTGCAGTCACGCGCGTGGAAGAGCCGCCCACGTACTCAGAGGTGCTGACATTGGATGAATACGACGGTGCCGGCCCTCCGCCGATGCCCCGTGCGCCGTACGTGCCACTCTCGCCGCCTACCGAGTTCATGTGGCCGGACGAAGACGATGACAGTCAGTCTCCGCTGCAGGCCCAGACGAGCCCTCGCAAGGCGCTCGCTGTTGGTGGCCTCGTCGAGCGCGGGCGGGAGTGCCGCGATGCGGTTCGCGCTGCTGCCATGGTAAGTGTCGTTCAAACCAAGAGCACCAGCCACTGTATGAATCCGGGCCCCTAGTCGCTCTGCTCGTGCAGCCTCCTGAAGGACCCACAGGCGATCAGAGACCTATGCGCATCCCTTGAATCGGTGTTGGGTGCGATTCAGGAAGAGCTGAGGAAAACGCCTGAGGAACAGGGCGTCGGGGAGTCGCAGGACTTGCGGGCCTGATTCGATAAGCATTGGCAGATCGTGTCCTCTCTGAAGCGGTGGGATGCCCCTGCGCTAGGCCTTCATTTGATTGAGCGACTCATGCGATTTATATCTTGCACAGGAACCTGAACACGTTCTATATGTTTACGGATCAGATGCGCCGGCGTCCGCCGCGAATTCATCGGCTGGCGGACTGCGTGGACAAGCTCAGGGCATTCTGGACGAAGTTTTCGGATATCGTCCGGAGACTGGAGGTGCGTGAACGCTCTTGGTCTGATGTGGAACTGTCGCATAACCTCTGCTCGGATAGCTTTCGCGTGAGAAGCTGCAGCTCGTGAAGTTGCGAGTTAGACACACGGCGGAACACCTTGCGGCATGCTTGGAGATCGAGGCGGAGCGCACGCGGCGCCTCGAGTTCCGCAACGCGTGGCTCGAGGGCCGTGCATTGCGTAGAGCGATGCGCAGGAGATTCGCCGCTCGAAGCAGCTCGCGCAGCAGCTCTGAGCAACGGACGTCGACTGATGCATTCTCTCAAGTATCTACCTTGCAAATTGCCCTTACTGATCTGAACTCTCATCCATTTCTGGACTGCATTCTCTATGTTAACGGCGGATGGTACTGTTGTGGCTCCGCATCATCCGTCGAGATGTATCGCTAGGTGTTCCAATGTCTGTACTACCAGCATTTGTTATGACCGACCCGTGCAGTGCCATATGTCCTCACAAACTCTGATCACCATCACATATTCATTATCAAGTTCGTCATACTGTGCCAGTTAAATATGTTTCTACCCATTCTCCTATGTCTGAGAATCATCTCAAGCTTTGCCAATTAAATCTGGACAACGTAGCATATAGTTTGCACCGACAACAGCCTGATCTTAATGTGGCCACTGACGCGTCCCAGCGCTTACCGTATTAGCCACAGGCCGTGATTAACCCAGCGGACAGGCGCGCTGGTGGCGGGAGCTTGAATCTCGAATGACCCACTCGACCGCGCACCCCTTTCTGATTTTTTGAGATGAGCCTGGCAATCGCTCTTGCCAGCAACAACCACCTCCTCACTGAGGTACACTTCCATGTCCAAGACGGGTGCGCTCCGTCGCGCCCTCTTCTCGCGCAGGACCCTTGCCGTCGTCTCTAGCGCGACGCTCCTTGCCGCCGGAGGAGGGTATTGCTACCTCAACTCGGGGCCCACCTACCCTCCCGCAACGAAAGACACCACGAGATCCCCTCCACCATGGATGCCTCCCTCGAGGCAGCACATGCTCGATGCGCTTAAGGCGTCGTCGAAGAAGAAAGATGACGATTATCCCGGAGAATTCTCGATAATAGCATGGACTCCCATCACTTTGCTTACAGGCACCTCCTCAAAGTCGACGAAGCTG